TTGGGTGGGGCATGCAGATTTTCTCTTTGTCTTCTTGATTGCTCTGGCTTCAACTTTCTGATGGTTTTATATCTGCATTTGTATGGGGCTAGGTCTTGCTTGGGCCAGAGAGATAGATTTGGAGCCAAAGTTGGTTTCTGGTTTTTAAAATACTTTTGAGGAAATATATTTTTCTGCCCTTTTAATATTTCCTTCTCTGAGGCTCTGACTTCCCACAGTAACCAAGAGCGGAACGCAGTCTGAAGGATATAAGAAACAAGAAATTTTACTTGTAAAAGAAGTACTAAGGATCCTATGAGCCCAGGGCACTTAACTAGCCAAGAGCCTGCCCTGAACATTTCTATGCAAATCACCATCAATTAGATGTGTTCAGGATAAGAGGTGCTCAGAGCAACTCTGGCACATTCAGTTCACATTTTGAAAGTCAATCTTGGGTTGGGAGAACATTAGAACTAACTCTTAGATCAAGGGTGTCAAACTTGCAACGTCACATGATGTGTTGCGATGTATCACGACTTTTTTGTCATTACTGGCACTGGGATGGGCGCGGTTTCGCCATGACACATCTGGCCTGCGGGCCGGCAGTTTGACACCCCTGTCCTAGAGGATTGATAATCTGCAACAGGGGTATCCAACCTTGGCAACTTTAAGAGCTGTGGACTTCAACTTCCAGTACTCCCTAGTCAACGTGAATTCTGGGAATTGAAGTCCACAAGTCTTAAAGTTACCAAGATTGGACACCCCTGGTTTACAAGGTTTCTTCTGTCTGTCAAAAGTTATATCTTTGAATGGACAGCGCCAACATGATTGACCAAAGAAATTCTGCATGTGTTCTGTCACTCCCTCCTTAATAGATTTTTTTTGTAATAAGGAAAAAAGAATATTAAATGCTGGGGGTGATAATAGTAGGAGGAGCATTACAAATGGAAGAAGACCATTGACTTCAAGCTTGGGAAGGATGACTTTATTTTTAAAAAAACAACAACTTTGGAATGGCCGTCTATTGTTATTCCAAGAAAGTAATAAAATATATTAAAATATGGCAACAGAAACTGTAAAACGTAGTCTAACAGATTAGTTTTTGAAGCACCAACCTTCTGAAAGAATCAGTCAAAAGCAGTGGTGGCGAACCTATGGCACGGGTCCCAGAGGCGGCACTCGGAGCCCTCTCTGTGGGCACACGTGCCGTTGCCCCAGCCTCGCCTCCCCCCACGACTCCCTCCTCTCCAGCAGCTCCCCTGAAGGAGAGTCGCCCCTGAGCGTGGCCCACGTGGAGCAGCGCAGCCAAGGACATGGCAGCCAGGCAGCGTAGACAAGACTCTGCCCTCACATCCCATTGTGCACAGTTGATGCTGCAGGGCGCGGGCAGAGGGCGTGACTGCCATAGTGCTGCTGGGCTGCCTGGGCAATCTGCGGCGGGCCCTGGAGGTGGTGAGTGGCCCTGCGGGCAGGCGGCACAGGGGATGGGGGGGCGGAGCGGGGGGGCAGGGGGTGAAGCAGGGGCGAGGCCAGTTTTGGGGCACTCGGTCTCTAAACGGTTCGCCATCATTGGTCTAAAGACTCTTCCAGTCTGGAACTTTACTTCTAGTTAAGTCAACTGCATTTATCTTCTACAGAGAATTACTGGAGCCAGCGTTTCTCCTGGTCTGAGATACTTTGGACAGTCCATCCATGGAAAGACAGACCTCGGTGGAGATGGCCTCACCAGCATTGTGGTGGGAGCCTTGGGAAAGGTGATGGTACTCCAGTAAGTGACTGAGAGTTTATATTCTTGGGTTGTCCCAGGTGAGGCCATAAAACTTCAGGAAGTGAAAGAAAGACCAGAAAGTAAAGGAAAGAGCAGTTGCAGGACACATAATGATATTTTCAGTTTCCACTATTTCTCAAACTAGGAATTTATTGGGAGAGTTTTTATTTCCTCTAGCAATAAAACAAACTTGAGAAAGGATTACATTTAAACGAACCTCAGAATCAAAATTTCCCAACTTGTAGAAAGCAATTCACTTGTTGTTACCTTCAAAAGGTACTATAAAAGAAAGAAAAATAGGCTTTACGTATTTGAAAGGTTGTTTTTTTCCTTTCTCGAGGCTTCAGCAGAATCATGGAAAATAATAAATAAAATATAGACTTTTCATTTAAATAGTGAGGATAAGGAATTTGAAATTTACGCTAGATATTATACATCGTGAGAAAGAGAAACAGTTTGATTTCGCTTCTTTCTCTTTGTTTCGAAAGTGGAATTAAAGATGAGAGGCAGAATAAAGAGAAACTCTTGACCAGACATGTCAAACAAAAGGCCCGGGGGCCGGATGTGGCCCGCGAAGTGGTTTCATGTGGCCCGCGAAGCCATCCTGGAAACAGTGAGGGAACGGCCCCCGCGGCCTTGGCCCTGGCCCAGGCCAGCCGGGAGCCAATGTACAATTTTGTGGTGGCCATCTATGCTGAAACGCATTCAGTCTTAGCTCCACAAGGCTGTCTAGAAACAGTGAAGAACCAGCCCCTGCCACATCGCCCCCGCCCCCTGGGTGCATGCTGGGGAGGTGTCACCCTTTGTGAGGAATGAAGAAATGGACCATGCCTTGGCGCTTGCCCCGGTCCCACCCCCTTCTGCAAGAGACCCTCAGATCTGTCCCACTCCTGCCCAGGCCCCCACAGGCACCCTTGACGTGAACGATGTAGAGCTGGCCATGCCCACCCAGTAGGCCACACCCACTCCATCCATGCCCACCCAGTAGGCCACACCCATCCTGGCCACACTCACCCAGCCCTCAATGAAATTGAGTTTGACACCCCTGCTCTTGACCCTTGTTAATGATAATTAGTTGTGGAAAAAGAGAAAACACAACAGTCTTACTTTTGCAAAAGGTGACTGATCTTTCTCTAATTGGTGGAGATGGGGAGGAGTAAATTATTGGAAATAAAATCTCTGGATTTTAGGAAAATAAAAGTCTGTCTGAGCTGGAAAATTATTTCTTAAATTCAATTATAATTACAGGTAGTCGTTGACGTATGACCACAACTGAGCCCAAAACGTATGCTGTTAAGTGAGACATTTGTTAACTGGGTTTTGCCCCATTTTATGATCTTTCTTACCAGAGTTGTTAAGTGAATCACTGCAGTCTTCAGCCATAGCAATATAGTTGTTAAAGGAATCTGGCTTTCCCCATTGACTCTGCTTGTCAGAAGGTCACAAAAAGTGATCGCCTGACCCCGGGACACACTGCGACCGTCATAAATATGAACCAGTTGCCAAGCATCTGGATTTTGATCATGTGACTGAGGAGATGTTGCAACGGTCACGTGAAAGCTGGTCATAAGTCATTTTATGGTCATAAGCCTGAGCAGGGGGTTGGACTAGATGACCTCCAAGGTCCCTTCCAACTATTATTATTATTATTATTATTATGGATCATCGCACAGTCAGCCAGATGTTCAGACTGGATTTGGCATTTTTGTCTACCTATCAAGTCCTTCCCAAGGACCTGGGATGGGCAGATGTGGATGTTTGATGGTATTATAGATATCGTCGCAGGATGGAAGCAGCTCCTAGTAAGGCCACCTTTTGCAATTGACTAATGGCGAATTTGTCAATGCCAATGGTGATCAAGTGGTGCTCCAGTTGTTTTGGGATTGCACCCAAGGCGCCTATTACTATTGGTACTACCCTTGCTTACTTTTGCCACAGTCTTTCTATTTCTATTTGTAGGTCTTTGTATTTTGTTATCTTTTCCAATTCTTTGTCGTCTATTTTGCTGTCTCCAGGCACTGCCACGTCCACTATCCAGACTTTTTTGTCTTTTTTATCGACAATTATTATTATTATTATTATTATTATTATTATTATTATTATTATTATTATTATTATTATTATTATTATTATTATTATTATTATTCAGGGCCATTGTAACTTTGATTAGCTACTAAACAAATGGTTGTAAGTCTAAAACTACCTCGTAATTGTTTAATTGCATAAACACGGTGCTTTTTCCTTCCCATGGAATCTACTATTTTAAACGCCTACATTTCTTTCTCTTCTGTAATAAACAGTGGTACCTCCTTCCCTCCTCACCTAAATGTAGAAGGTTTGATCCACGGGGACTAGTAGATTATTTATTTTTGTTTTCTGGCACTTGCAGATCCAGACCAATTGTTAACGTGGCTACGCAAGTGACTTTCGAGCCCAAGGAAATTCCAGTGAAAGATGTTGAATGCGCCGGGCATAGCAAATCCTGGCAAAATGTAAATTTGAAACTCAGGATCTGCTTCGATAACAGCTTTGCCACCAAGAGTTACACAGGTGAGGCATCTGTGGGATGATCCTGATCCTAATCCAAAGAAGAATCCAGCATTCACAATCAGTTGCACAGCAAGTGATATGGGGGGGAAGGCAAAACATACCATGGTTTCTTTGGTGCTAGTTGCTTTCCTATGAAATTGCCAACTTAAAAGAGAACCCAAATATAGAATCAGACAGTCCAGTACATTTGAGTGTTTTCCGTGTTTGGGTCCTGTTATAGTCTTCATTTTTATTTTTATTTTTTACTTAAAATGGCATGGTGGTGTTAGGCTAGCAAAGCACTACCAAGGCTTTGGACTCGGCTATGTCTTTCCCAGTTGCAATGTACGGCTGTGAAAGTTGGACCATAAGAAAGGCTGAGCGCCAAAGAATTGAGGCCTTTGAACTACGGTGCTGGAGAAGAACTCCTGCGAGTACCTTGGACTGCAAGGCGTTCAAATCAGTCAGTCCTAGAAGAGATCAACCCCGACTGCTCTTTAGAAGGCCAGATCCTGAAGTTGAAACTCAAGTACTTTGGCCACCTAATGAGAAGGAAGGACTCACTGGAGAAGAGCCTGATGCTGGGAAAGATTGAGGGCAATAGAAGAAGGGGACGACAGAGAATGAGGTGGCTGGATGGAGTCGCTGAAGCAGTAGGAGTGAGCTTAAATGGACTCCAGAAGATGGTAGAGGACAGGAAGGCCTGGAGGAACGTTGTCCATGGGGTCGCGATGGGTCAGACACGACTTCGCAACTAACAACAACAATGTCTTTCATTCAATGCTTTCAGTGTTGCTTCTTTTTTAAAGTAGTTTTTTATTCGGGCACCAAATGGCTTTGGCATGCTTTATGAATGGGTTCCAATTGCTTAAATCAGGTGTCTCTAAACTTTTAAGATTTGTGGACTTCAGCTCCCAGAATTCTAGGAAATTCTAGGAGCTGAAGTCCACAAGTCTTAAAGTCACCAGATTTGGAGACCCCTGGCTTAAACAGATAGTCCTTGACTTACGACCACAACTGAGCCCAAAGTGTATGTTACTGAGGAAGACGTTTGTTAAGTGAGTTTTGCTCCATTTTACAACCCTTTCTTGCTACAGTTGTGAAGTGAATTATGGCAGTTCTTAAGTTGGTTACACGGTTGTTAAGTGAATCTGGTTTACCCACTGACATTGCTGATCAGTTTGTCACAAAAGGTGATCACATGATCTTGGGACACTGCAACCGTCAAAAATGTGACTCGCCAAGCGTCTGAATTTTGATCACGTGACCATGGGGATGCTGCAACCCTGGCAAGTGTGAAAAATGGTCATGTCACTTTTCTCAGCAGTGTTGTAACTTTGAATGGTCGCTAAATGAACTGTTGTAAGTCGAGGACTACCTGTAATAATCCCCTTGGGAATCTTCTGTAATGATTCCTTCTAATACTTTTCCCCTTAGCACAATGTTATCTTTAATTATCTAAAAGGAAAGAAAATGTTTGTTTCCTTAGCACTTTTTATTTAAAAAATGTTTATTGTTTTTAATTGGTTTTGTAATGTATTGAAGTGAATTACTTGGAATTGTTGAAAAAACTGTCAGTTAAGTGCCAGACTTGCTGTCTGCAGATTCATTATAATATGTTTAGACTGTGTCAGTTAAGTGCCAGACTTGCTGTCTGCAGACTCATTATGTTTAAGCAGGAAGGATATTTGAATTCTATTGGCTGCTGCCTATTGCTGAATGTATAAATAGAGGTGGAGCAGTAGTTAACCAGGCTTCTGTTTAAACCTGCAATAAAGAGTTGATTGTTCACCTGCTGCCTCGTGGATGCCTCACCAAGCATCAAACATAACATGTTTTGTATAGGTTGTCCTTGACTTATGATTGGTTGGTTAAAGACTGTTCGAAGTTACGAACTACCTGAAAAAGGAAACTTATGAGAACTTCCTGTTTACTTCCTGTTTACTGGCTTTTCACTCTTTTTTGAAGGCACGGGAGTGAGGGGATGGAATTGTAGTTTTGATATAACAGGAGCCAGAGATATGCTATGATAGTCATTAAAAAAGACAGAGGACTTGCAGAGTCTCTGCTCTGCCTTATACACATCGGCCATTTTCTTCCCTCCAGGACAACTGTCTGCAAAACTCTTGTTTCGCCTGGAAATTGACCCAGACAGGGTGAAGTACCGAGGAGAATTTAGGAATGGCAAGAATATTATAAACGGGGCCGAAGAAATCTCTCTAAAGCCAGTGTGCCTATCGGAGGAAATTAATATCACGGTAAATCAGAACGACTCGTTCTTAAACCTCTTACTTGTGTTGCTAAAGGTACAGCTGGTAGTGTTACATCTATAGGAGGAAGGGTGAAATGAAAAACACAAGAATTTCCAGCAAGTAACCTTCCTTCCAAATATGAAACCTACAGGTAGCCCTCGACTTACAACCACAACGGGGACCAAAGAATTCATTGTTAAATGGTGCAGTTGTTAAATGAGGCGTCACATGACTGAACTTGCAGCCTTCCCTGCCGGCTTTTCCATTAATTTGTTTGCTGGAAGCCGGCCTGGAAGGTTGCAAATGGCAATCGCACAACCGTGAGATGCTGCAAGTGTGTTAAATACGTGTCATTCACCAAGGGCCTGAATCACAATCATGGGATGGCGGGCATGCCACAATGGCCATAAATTTGAGGACTATTTGCAAGTCCCTTGTTTCAGCGCTGTTGTAACTTTGGTCACTAAACCAAATGGTGGTAAGTAGAGAACTACCTGCATTGTTCATAGATTCTAGACTTTTGTGCGTTGGTGAAACAAGGAAGGCACTAGCATCTTCTTGAGAAGGTTGGCTAGTCTGCCCTCAGATATTGCTAATGTGATGGTTACAAGCCATCACATTATCGTACAGGAATCCTGGCTTAAGCAGCTCCTGCCTTTGTCTTTCAGAATTGCATTGAGGATTACTTGTCAGCCATCAAACTCCTGGTGAATTTTTCCCTTGAGGAAGGTGGATTGCTGAAGAGCGGACCTCCCAGGCCGATTCTGAATCCTTTAAGCAATAGGACAATGGTGGAGGTGAGACCTCTTTATGTGTGGGGGGGGGCAGGAATAACAGATTTAGCTACCAATAGAAGAGAGTATTTGTAAATCAGGGTTGAATTGTGGTGTCCTCTGAGCTTGGTTGTTTTCTGGCAGACATTTCATTACCAAAGTAGGTAACATCATCAGTGCTAGTGGGGTGTGGGGTTTGCTCTCTGTTTACATACCAGTGGCTTGCTCTGTCAGTGTTGACGGGAACGGTCTTGGTGTGGTTCCTTGATCGGGCTGTTGTCTACTTGTTAGCTTGTTTGGCTAACAGATTAACATTAGACCAACTATCGAGACGCAAACAATACCCTGATCGAGGAACTGCCAAACAAGCTAACAGCACACAACAACCCAATTAAGGAACTACAGAGACCACTCCCACTGACACTGACAGGGCAAGCCACTAGAACAGGGTCTGCAACCTTGACAACTTTAAGACCTGTGGACTTCAGCTCCCAGAATTCCTCAGCCACCGAGTGCCCAAAAACTGCCCCTCCCCTCGCCCCCGCTCCACCCCTGCCCCTGCTCTGCCTGCCCACAGGGCCACCTACCGCCTCCATAGCCCACTGCAGATCGCCCAGGTGGCCCTGTAGTGCCATGGCAGCTACGCCCTCTGCCCGTACCCTGCAGCATCATCTGCATGCAACAGGACATGAGAGCAGAGTCTTGTCCCTGCTGCCCGGCTGCCATGTCCTTGGCTATGCTGTTCCGTGCGGGTCGTGCCTGGGGGCGACTCTCCTCCGGGGGTCCTGCTGGTGAGGAGGGGCCCACGGGGGGAGGCGGGGCTGGGGCAACGGCGCGCGTGCCCACAGAGAGGGCTCTGCACCACTGCTATAGATATACTCTGTGATTGGCCTCTGGGAAAGAGCCCCTCCCTGCTGCAGCTCCAGACTACATTTATTTTTTTATTTTTTATTTTTTATTTTTATTTTTTTTTATTATTATTATTATTATTATTATTATTATTATTATTATTATTATTATTATTATTATTATTATTATTATTATTATTATTATTATTATTATTATTATTATTATAACAACCAAGCTCAGAGAGCACTAAGGACCCCACAGATTTAGCCACAAAGATAGATGTGCTTAGTGTCTTGTGGAAGAACTGGGAATGCAGGAAATGACATTGTTCTGAGTGAACTTGAATTTCAGCAGTCAGGGACAACTGATGTCCCTAGGATGGGGATAGGTGGGATGTACCAGCTTAAAGCCAACTGGGAAGGAACCAGGAAGTGGGCCTCAATCTGGCAAATTTCAGCAGGGTAAGGTATTACACTGGACACATGGAAATATTTCCTATCTTATCCAATACAACAGATTCCTTTTGACAAGAACTGTGGAACAGATGATGTCTGTGTGGCTGACCTGAACATTACCTTCCATTCTTCAGGGTAAGTATAAATTCCTTGATACCATCAGTCACTTTTCTTTCAAAAATATGAGAAAAATCAGAAGCTGTTCAGGAACAGCAGGGTTTCCATTTCGGCAACACTAACCCACATGTATGTAGTCTGGTTTTAAATATAGGTAGTCCTCACTGAACCTCCAGCTGCTTAATGACTGTTCAAACTTAAAATGGATCCCAGAAAGTTACTTACAACCCACCCCTTGCAATCATGTGATCTCATGTCAGGCATTTGACGAGCAGTTCCTATTTATGACTGGTTGCAGCATAATCCCATGGTTCTGTGAATGTGATTTGCGGGGAGGTTTTTTTTTTCCAGTTTCTGATACAAAAAGCACCCATTTGGGAGCATGGATCTGCTTATTGACCAGATAATTAGCTTAATGACTAAAGCGAGTCTCGTTGTAAAAAAGGTCATAAAATCATGTCAAGTCATATGGTGATCCACTTAAGGATCGCAAAGATTTACGATCAAACTTTCTGGGTTCAGTTGTGACTGTTAAGTGAGGACTATCTGTTCTAATAATCCTTATATTTAGTTTTGTAAGGTGTTGAAATGTATTGTGAAGCTGAATGAAGCTGAGTGAAGCCTACAGGTTACAAACATGGCTACAAGGAAGAATCCTCAAGTTTTTAGGCTGCTGGAGTTGAATAAATGATCTTTCAGAAATCCCTAGCTTCTTTTCTACCCCATTTTCTGCAGTTCTAAAGGGTCCAGGGTGAAATTGCATTGTGTAAACACTCTTGTGGCTACTTAGCAAGTTTGCCAGATCTGTATCAACAGAAGGATAGCATCAAGAACAAAGTTCTTTGCTTTATATTGCACTGTATTGTACTTTGCTTTATATTGTACTGGTAAAACCATATAAGACGAGATTGGGCAGCCATTTGTTCAGAATGCTATAGGTCTCCTGCTGGAGCACGGGGTTGGACTAGAACAGTGGTGGCAAACCTTTTAGAGACCGAGTGCCCAAACTGCAACCCAAAACCCACTTATTTATCGCCGGGTGCCAGGTGGGCGTGGCCGACTGGATGGGCATGGCTGTGGTAGTTATGGCAGACTGGGTGGGTGTGGCCAAGGTGGGCGTGGTCACCTCAATGTTGCACCTGTGGGGGCCGGGCAGGGTTGGGGGAGATCCAGGGGGTTGCTGGCAGGTAGGGCGGTGGGCAGGAGGCTCATCCTGCGGGGTGAGGCGAGGCAAGGTGAGGCAGGGCAGGGGTGCCATTGTCACAAGGCAAGGCAGGGGCCAGGACGGCTGCTGCCTGACACCATCGGGCCCCGCACACAGAGGCCAGTGAGCACATGGGGGCCGACAGTGTCCGTCAGCAGCCACAGCCTGCCAGTCCCTCGACCGGTACACTCTGGGGCTCCGCAGCCTGCCACCAGCAGTTCAGAGAAGCCACCTCTGAGCTGGACGGCCAGCCGACAGCTGAGGAGGCGATGCAGTGGGTCGTGCCCGGGAAAAGGAGAGCATGCAAGGCCGGGAGGGATGAGACGAGGGGGAGGGAAACCAGCCGTGCTGGGATGCATCTGGCCACGTGGGACCTCGGCAAGTTAGCAGGTGGCTGGTTGAAGAGGGACGGTTGCCATCTCTGGGGCATGGCGCGCGTGCCCAAAGAGAGGGCTCTGAGTGCTGCCTCTGGCACGTGTGCCCTAGGTTCGCCACCACTGGACTAGAAGATCTCCAAGGTCCCTTCCAACTCTGTTATTCTGTATTTGATTCTGTTTTCTGTATATTTATCAAAATTGGGAACGGAATAGCATTAACCCCGTCTTCTCCTGTACAATAGATCTAAGGAACTGGTTGTATCTCCTCACCATCCGCTAGAAATGAATTTGGAATTGGTGAATCAGCGGGAAGATGCCTATTTTACGACTCTCTACGTGCCCCATTTGCCAGGCCTTTCTTTTCGCAAATATTCGGTGTGTATGCCACCTTTTTGAAGGCAGGACTTCGCAGTGGGTGCCCCCCGGGTGGAATAGCATATATTTCAGCAGCTCCCTTTTACCCATCTGAAGAATTGTGCTAAAGGAAAAGCCACAAAATTTGGGACTTTTGTGTTGCTAATGGCCCAAAGGTCAGACTATGTGGCGAGTGTAAGCTCTTTATGGCATGGGTCCTGAGGAATGGTCTCACCCCAGTGGGATTGGCCCACCCCACCCACTCTGGCTGAAGGGGCATGCTGTGGACCCCATCAGCAGGGAATTCCAACCGGCAGGGTTAGGGAGAACAGCCTTTTCTCCCCCCCTCTGGAATATCATGTCCCTTGAGGTGGGATCCACCGCCACTTTTGGCCTTCTGAAAGAGCCTGTAAACCTGGCTTTGAGGCCCGAGGGAGGTGTCCCAGTGTGGAGGTGGTTAGTAGATTAAAAGATCCCACCTGCCCTCCATTTACATATTGGTCCTTTTTACTCAGCTTGTTGTGAATTTGAACGTTTTAACTTTTAGCGCTCAGTGTTTTCTTTTAATGCGTTTAACATTCTAATTGTTTTGAATTGTCGTTTTTGTCATTTGTTTATTTGCATCCTGCCTCTGTTTGTTTTTATAAATAACTCAAAGCGGCGACCAGGTCCCAACATAACTTTCTCCTCCTCCTAGTTTCCTCACAACCACTAGCCTGTGAGGTGGATTGAGCCGAGAGAGAGTGAGAGAGAATTTTATGACGTTGTAAGCCACTTAGAGTCGCTTGATTGATAGTGAGATGGACAGCATAAATAAATAAATAAGTGAATAAATAAATAAATAAATAAATAAATAAACAAACAAACAAACAAACAAACAAACAAATGTAGTCCAGAGCTGCAGCAGGGAGGGGCTCTTTCCCAGAGACCAAAGAGACAGCAAAGCTGGGAAGATCTGGTAAGCAAGAAGAGAGTGAAGGCAGATCCTCCCTAGCAATTCATAGAGTATATCTATAGCAGTGGTGGCGAACCTATGGCACGTGTGCCAGAGGCGCCACGCAGAGCCTTCTCTGTGGGCACGCGCGCCGTTGCCGCAGCCCCGCCTCCCCCCGTGGGGCCCTCTTCACCAGCAGGATCCCCGGAGGAGAGTCGCCCCCAGGCGCGGCCCGCACGGAGCAGCATAGCCAAGGACATGGCAGCTGGGCAGCAGGGACAAGACTCTGCTCTCACGTCCCATTGCGTGCAGATGATGCTGCGGGGTGCGGGTGGAGGGCGTAGCTGCCATGGCACTACAGGGCCGCCTGGGCGATCTGCGGTGGGCTGCGGAGGTGGTAGGTGGCCCTGTGGACAGGCGGAGGAGGGCAGGGGCAGAGCGGGGGCAGGGGCGGAGCGGGGGCGGCCGAGGGGAGGGGCAGTTTTTGGGCACTCGTCTAAAAGTTTCGCCATCACTGATCTATAGTTATACAGATTTGGTCTGGCAAGATTCTGTTTGTAGGAGAACAGTAAAGAACTATTCAGAAGTATAGGCAGTCCTTGACTTATAACAGTTTGTTTAGTGACTGTTTGAAGTTACAACAGCACTGAAAAAAATGACTTCTGGCCATTTTTCACACTTACAATTGTTACAGCGTCCCGGTGGCTATGTGATCAAAACTCAGACGCTTGGCAACTGACTCGTGTTTATGACAGTGGCAGGACTCCCAGGTCACCTTTGGCAACCTTCTAACAAGCCAAGTCAATGGGGAAGCCAGATTCACTTAACAACTGTGTTACTACTTAACAACCACAGTGATTCACTTAACAATTGTGGTAAAATAGGGAAAAGCTCACTTAACAACTGTCTCGCTTAACGACAGAAATTTTGGGCACAGATGTGGTCCTAAGTCAAGGATTGCCTGTAACTCCATGTGTCATTCTTGATTCTTTGGGACTGACATGAATCTTGCCAGATTAAAGTAACTATCTGCATAAATATAAGATACAGTACACTCTGTGAACTGCTAAGGGGGGGCCCTCCTTCACCTTCTACCAGTCACTCTAAGTGCCACTCTCTGGCCCCCTGGAAAAGAGCCCCTCGCTCCTGTGATGCTGGTCCACGTTCCAGCACAGGATAACTGGTCTCGGAGTTGGAAAGGAGAAAATAGCAGCAATTAAACCAAATCTCACCACCCCTTCTCTTTTTTCCTAGTCCAATCCTCACGTCACCCTGAACTGTGATGGAATGATTCATCGTCCGGACTTTCAAGGCCTTGCTTGCAACGTCAGTCATCCCATCTTCAGGAATAGCACGAAGGTATACGATCACCCTAGTGAGGCTGGTAGGGAGCTTGTAGTGGTGGCTCTTCACCATCTTCAATGCAGGATGGTGGCTGTATGGCAAGAAATGCTTACTGGTACTTAAGCCATGGTTTAATCAGCTCACCTAATTTCCTGGGATTGCAGGACACACTGGATTTGCAGAACATATGGATAGTTGCTTGCAAACCTTGCCAATCCTGTGCTGTGACTGGGCAATAGACTTCACTCAAAAGTCACTATAGTTGAAGGAACAAGGCAAGGTCATTCCCACATACCATTATATTGGCTTAGTCCACAGGTCAGCAACCTACGGCTCTGGAGCCGTGTGCGGCTCTTTGAGCCTTCCCCTGCGGCTCCCAGCCTCCTCTGCCATTTGCAGAGAGAGAGAGAGGCACTAGCACAGTGGTTCTCAACCTGTGGGTCGGGACCCCATTTGGGGTCGATCGACCATTTCCCGGGGGTCGCCAAGCAAGGCTGTCCGCCATTTTTTTTGTCCGCCATTTTTTCCCCCCTTTTCCAGCGGGTGCCTTACCTCCCTTGGGCTGGGCCAGCTGGTGGTTGGCCTGCTCCGTCTCTGCCGCTTGCCAGCTACGCCTCTGCCGGTGCAGGGGGCGGAACCACGCATGTGTGGTGCTCCCGGGCAGGGAAAGTCCTCGACTTACGACCGGTTGGGTAGTCCTCGACTTACGACCGGTTTAGTCCTCGACTTATGACCGGTTGGGGTCGCGGCATTAAAAAGGTTGAGAACCACTGCACTAGCGCTTCCCTTCTCTCTCTCTCTCTCTCCCCCTTCTCTCTCTCTCTCTCTCCCCCTGTCTCTTTCTTTCTCTCTCTCTCTCTGTGTGTGTGTGTGTAAAAAAAAGAGAGTGGCCTCACCCTGTTCAATGAGCTGACAAGCTTACTGGGCAGGGCTCCTGCCTTGGCTGCATCTCTGCAGGAAGCAGGAAGGGCAAGAGAGAGCTAGCTAGCCCAGCTATGCTGACTCAGGAATTCTGGGAGTTGAAGTCCATGAGTCATAAAAGAGCCGAGGTTGCCTACCCCTGAGCTTGTTAGAGAACAGCTTGAAGCCAGCTTGCCAGGTGAGCAGAAGATCGGAGAGAGGGAGGGAGAGGGGGGGAGAGAAAGAGAGAGAGAGAGAGGAAAGAGAGGGAGGGAGAGGGGAGAGAGAGAGAGAGAGAGAGAGAAAGTGTGGGGGAAGAGGACTGGCAGACCAAGGGCAGAAAGAGAGAGAGGGAGTGAAAGAGAGAGAGAGAGAGAGAGAGAGAGAGAGAGAGAGAGAGAGAGAGAGGGAGGAAAGAGAGAGAGGGAGAGGAGAGGGAGAGAGAGAAAGAGGGGGAGAGGAAAGAGAGGGAGAGGAAAGAGAGATAGAGAGAAAGAGAGAGAAGAGAGAGAAAGAGGGAGAGGAGAGAGAGAGGGAGAGGAAAGAGGGAAAGAAAGAGAGGAGGAGAGGAAAGAGAAAGAAAGAGAAAGAGAGAGGGGAGAGAGAGAGAGAGAGAGAGAGAGAGAGAGAGAGAGAGAGAGAGAGAGAGACTCTTTTGACATCTAAAATGAAGATAACACTGCAAATATCCTTTTTTACCTTTATGATATACAGTGCTTTTTTTCTAAAAAAAAAAAAAAAGATGCCGGAACTCATACATATCGTACAACCCGCCTTGCCTACCCTACAAGGTTCCATCCAAAAAAGGTGCCGGAACTCCGTTCTGGGCGTTCTATGAGAAAAAAGCCCTGATGATATATATATAGTACTCCTAGGGATGAGTTACAATTTGCAAATCAGTTGGTCATCTTACATCACACAGTATGGAGCAGCTGACCCTCTTGCAGTTATATATTTTTTTGTCTAATAGCATATTCTTAAACTAGAGATTGTGACTTTACCCATTTTTTGGAAGCAGAAGCTGCTGAAAGATGAGACCTATAGCAAAACCGGTATCCTGAAAGAAATTATGGGCTACTTCACACTTTACAATAAGCCACCATTTGCTTTAGCCATGGTTTCCTGAATCATCCACAATGGCTGGCTCATATATTATGCTAAATTAGAAACAGGAACTTACAAACCACATCAGTGGTGATTGGCCCAACATGGTGTCAAACAACAACATCCCAATCACATTTAGGTTTGGCATTGTTGAGTGAAACACCCCGCCTCCCATGACTCTAGAGACAATTTAAGCATCTTGGCTGTGGAATTTAGAGGATCAGGTGCAAAAGGCAGAAAATGTCATATACACATACATATACATATACGTATACATTATACATATTCAAAATTTTGTGGCTGACAAAGAGTTACCCAACAGATAAGACACATATACATATACATATATACACACACATATACATATACATACACACACACATACACACACACATATATATATGTATATACACACACACACATATATACATATACATACATATATATATTTGTGTATGTATGTGTGTACACACATGCACATATATATTTATATATATAATATATTATAATTCTGAATGTAAGGATATGCATCTTCTATTGTTTAGTGAGATTAATGGGAGTGAAAGGGCTTGATCTGATGTGTCAAAGGCCAGAGACATAGAATGAAAAAGACAGTAAAATGCTTGGCAGACTATCTCAGTGTTGACCTGCTCCCTCTTAGACTGTGATCCAGCTTCAGTTTGGTGTGCTCGACAACGTTGCCTGGAAAGACAACTTGGAGATGGTGGTGTACGTCACCAGGTAAACTTCAATTACTTATTTTACTGAACCATTGTGTTTTATCTCTTGCAGCTTTATTATGTTAGGTCAGTGGTGGCGAACCTATGGCACGCGTGCCAGAGGCGGCACTCAGAGCCCTCTCTGTGGGCACACGCGCCATGCCCCGGAGATGGCAACCATCCCTCTTCAACCAGCCGCCTGCTAACTCGCTGAGGTCCCACATGGCCAGATGCATCCCAGCACCCATGCGCTCGCTGGCCTCTGTGTCCAGGGGCTGATGGTGTCAGGCAGCAGCCGCCCCGGCCCATCTCACCTTGCCCTGTGACAATGGCACCCCCGTCCTGCCTCGTCTAACCCCGCAGGATGAGCCTCCTGCCCACCGCCCCACCTGCCAGAGACCCCCTGGATCTCCCCCAACCCTGCCCGGCTCCCACAGGCGACCCTCCCCACGAGCAACATTGAGGTGATCATGCCCACCTTGGGCACACCCACCCAAACAGACATGTCCAACATAGCCACACCCACCCAGTGGGCCACGCCCACCTGGCACCCGGTGATAAATAAGCGGGTTTTGGGTTGCAGTTTGGGCACTCGGTCTCCAAAAGGTTCACCATCACTGTGTTAGGTGCTACCTAGAAGGTAAAATGAGCTGTCCTAATCTTAAGTCTTCCACTCAGGATGAGAAGGGAGAGGAAAGATGGAAAATTAATGAAGTTTTGGAAAGGAAAATCATGGAGAAATGGCAGGGTGCACATGGTAAAATTGGGTGGATCCGAAACTGTGAAGATCTTAAAGAAAAGAGGAAAGTGGATTGAAAAAAAAAGATTAGTTTGCAGCGGCAGAGAAAACCGTGATAGCAGCCATCCGCGTATAGCTTCTATTTATTATAATTTAATGCTAATTTAGTATTTATTTACTACAATGTAGTACAGATAGTCCTCAACTTATGACCATAATGGAGCACCAAATTTCCATCGTAAGTCATGATGGTCATACACTCAAGACACCCACGTGACCGTATCCAATTTTACTTTTTTTGTACCTGTCATTAGTTGAGCATGGTAGTCGTTAAGTGAACACCTCGGTCATTACAAAAGTCTATTCATGAGCGTTTTTCTTTGGAAACCTGCCAAAAAGGGTGGAAAATCGTGGTCCCGTGACTGCAGAATGCTGCAACTAGCTGTGTAGCTCTCAGAACTCTGGAACTGGGTTATAAATATCTTTTTTGGGGGGGGGGGGTCTCTTATAACTTCAAATGGTTGTTAAGCAAGGACTGCCTGCTTCAGATGCTGGAGAAGGATTATCTGCATGTCGGCTATAACAAAATGTACTTGTTGCTTTCATTCTAGCCTTTTCTCTATCCACTGCGGGATGAAGGCCTCTTCTGCATGTTTCCAACCAATACGGTCTTGACCTTTCTTTTGCCTGTTGGGCCCGCAATAATTACTGATGTCGTTGATCCATCTTGTTCTAGGTTTCTTTCGTGCACGCTTTTTATGAAGTGGGATCCATTCTGTGGCTGCCTTGATCCACCTGCCATCATTTCTTCTTGCTATGTGACCAGCCCATTTCCATTTTAATTCTTTTATTCTCTTGATGTTATCCTATACCAGTGATGGAGAACCTTTTAGAGACCGAATGCCCTAAATCCGCCCCTGCCCCGCCCCCCACTCCACCCCCTGCCCACCCTGCTCTGCCNCCCACAGGGCCACCAACCACCTCCACAGCCCACGGCAGCCCCCCCTCCCCCCCGCAGCCCGCAGCATCAACTGCGCGCGACAGGGCACGATGGCGGAGTCTTGTCCCCACTGCCCAGCTGCCATGTCTTTGGCTGTGCTGCTCCGTGCAGGCAGCGCTCGGGGGCGACTCTCCTCCAGGGGGGCTGCTGGTGAGGAGGGGGCCACGGGGGGAGGCAGGGCTGGGGCAACGGCGCAGGTGCCCTCAGAGAGGGCTCTGAGTGCCGCCTCTGGCACGCGTGCCATAGGTTCACCACCATTGTCCTATACTGTTGTTTGTTCTCTAATCCATGTGTGGGTCTTTCTGTCTTGTCTTGCAATGCCGAGCATGTATCTTTCCATGGCTCTTTGCGCCATTCGTAGCTTTTGTATCGATTGTGAGGGTTAGTGTCCATGTTTCGCCGGCATATGTTAGAGCGGGTGGCACACACAGATCAAAAACTTTTCTCTTCAGGCATAGGGGTAGATTGTTCTTGTTGCTTATGGATGCAGAAGTCTGGATCATCTCTGGAATAAGCAGTTCTAAGATTGTATTGTGTAATCTTGCATTACTCTCTTACAGTGAGAATGAGGACAATGAAACTCTTCCAAACAACAAAGCTCATCGTAGCATCCCTGTAATGTACCCCATCAACATCATTGTTAAGGGGTAAGACTCTGGTTGCCCTTTCTTCCATTTTTCTCCTGGAAATGATAGCAGAGCTGTATGCCACTGTAGTATAATTCCATAATTAAGCAGAATGAATCTAACATCCAGAACAAGCTAGTGCTTGTGAATCAATCACGCGCTGATCAGGTAACTTTACAAATACCTGTGTTTGAAATTCCTGCAAAATCTCCCACTCTCATTTCCCAGAAGATATGACATTTCCTTGGCTTTCAATAGCCGCTTATTATGGCACCATCACAAATGCAGAATATACTCTAGAGCAGGGGTGTCAAACTCGCAATGTCACGTGATGTATCGCAACTTTTTTTGCCATTGCCGGCAATGGGGTGGGTGTGGTTTTGCTATGATGCATCCGGCCCACCGACCGGCAATTTGACACCCCTGCTCTAGAGTTACTTTGGTTGGTCCCAAGATTGGGCTTCTAAATGAGGTTTTTATTGTATGGTTTGCTATGGGGGGGGTGTCATAGAATATTAAGTCCACACCTTGAAAACTTTGAGTTGCAGCCCTCTCTTTTTCCCCCCACCACTTGTCTTCTTTCTTTCCACAAAGAGAACCAGTTAAAAAGACTGAATGGCTGCATAATGTCTCTCGCTTTAAACAGTCTGCAAATACTGCAGTGTTATTTTTCCCTTTTCAGCTTGTATTGTGGACTGTTCTTAGAATTTAGAATAGAATAGAGCTGGAAGGCACCTTGGAGGTCTTCTAGTCCAGTGCCCTGCTCAAGCAGGAGAAGGGTTCTAGTAATAATAAGACAGACATGTCAAACACAAGGCCCGGGGGGCGGGGGCGGTCCACGAAGTGGTTTCATGTGGCCCGCAAAGCCATCCTGGAAACAGTGAAGGAACGGCCCCCACTGCCTTGGCCCTGGCCCAGGCCGGCTGGGAGCCAATGTACATTTTGTGGTGGCCATCTATGCTGAAACGCATTCAGTCTTAGCTCCATAAGCCCCTCCCCCGCATGGCCTGAGAGGAACAGTGGGGCTCCGCCAATGGATCATGCCTTGGCACTTGCCCCGGTCCCACTCCCTTCTGCCAGAGACTCTCAGATCTGTCCCACTCCTGCCCAGGCCCCCACAGGCCCCCTTGACGCGAACGATGTAGAGCTGGCCATGCCTACCCAGTAGGTCACATCCACTTCATCTACACCCACCCAGTAGGCCGTACCCACCCTGGTCACACCCACCCGCCCCCCCCAGGGCAACCGCAATGCTGATGCGGCCCTCAATGAAATTGAGTTCAACACCCCTGTAATAATTATGCTGTGGCATAAATTCCACTTTGGGGTGGGTTTCCTTCTTTGCTTATCCATTCCTGCTTTTGTCTCTTGCAGGTTAGAGACATCTAGCCAATACATTGACTTCAGTTCTAAGCAGCAAGAAAACAAGAACATGACACACTCCTACCAAGTGAGTCAGCACTTGCAGGATTTACCTCAAAATAAGAACTCTGCAATGTCCTTCATGGTGCTTAGAATCCAGCGGACTTGGGAGAATGTGGCCCAAAGGCTTATTTTTAATGTGTTTTTATTTATTAAAGGAATTTATATGGCTGCCCAAGTCACACACAGGTGACTCCGTGTGGCTTACAACATTAAACATTACCAACCATATAACGGTTGGTCGCACAGTCAGCCAGATGTTGAGATTGGGTTTGGTATTTTTGTCCATCTATCAAATCTTTCCCAAGCACTTGGGGTATAGGCAGATGTTGTTCTTTGGTGGTGTTAAAGGTCTTGTCGCAGGATGTAAGCTGTTTCAAGCAAAGCTGCCTTTTGCAATTGACCAATGGTAATGTTGTCAGTGACGATGGTGATGCTCCAGATGTTTTGGGACTGCACTCAAGACGTCTATTACTATTGATACTATCTTTGCTTTCTTTTGCCACAGTTGTTCTACTTCTATTTGCAGGTCTTTTGTATGTGATGATTTTCTCTACTTCTTTCTCTTCTCTTCTGCTGTCTCCAGGTATTGTAATGTCCACTATCAAGACCTTTTTGTCTTTCTTAATGACAGTGGTTAAGTGTGGTGTGGCAGTGCTTGTCTGTTTGAATTCTCAAGTTCCAGGGCACTTTGGCTTCTTCATTTGCTCTTACTTTGTCTATTTTGTGGTCCCATCAGTTCTTGCTTGCAGGCAAATGGTATTTTTTGTAGAGTTTTCAATGCACTGTTGTTGCTACTTTGCCCTTCCCCTTCCTTCACTTCCAGGTAACTAACTGGGTCCTGGGGGTGTTTCCACCGCCTAAAGTATCGGTGTATGTCAAAGTGCCAACTAAAGTTCCTGCTGGATTGATATGGAAGATTGATAAAGTCCTAACTGAGGTACGTCAGCTTTACTTAATGGAAACTCATGTGAACTGTTATTCTGTGCTCAAATATAAACTCCCGAGGCTCTATTTTAGACAAGCTGGTTGGTTCCATTAAAAGGATCTACTGGAGGTGAGATCAAAACTTGCAATTTGGCAGGTGCAGCCCTGTGATCCAAGCCTATGGTTGCACCTATACAAGAGGTGGGGCTTGGATTGCAATGTCATACCCACATCTTCCAGGTTTTCACACAGACACACACTTTACAATTACCAGACACATTTAATTTTTTAAAAGAATACTATGAATCTTCCCTGGGATATCCTTATCTTTAAATGATTTTGTCTACTCTAAGGTAAAGAGTGTTAATGTCCTCTTTTCCAAAATACAGGTGTGTTAGGGATTATAGGAGAACAAAATAAGTTTACAAAGGCAGAATAGGTAACACAGCGTGTTTGACATGAACCAGGTATACTTTTCTATATTAAAAAAGTTTACAGTTTACTTTGTCTCCTTGTATTACACAAGTAAGTCAATATTTTGAGCCCTCCTTTTCAGATCACTAAAATGGTTCCTGTATAACTTCCATTCTCATCCTATGTTCCGATCTAATTATGCACTTAATTAATATCATATGTCTAATTGGAAATCATGACAAATAATCTGAGGCTACTGTATTTTGTTTTTGCTGTATTTAAAATACTCTTGAAAAACATTTTTGGGGTGGATTAATGTAGAGAAAAAAAACCCTTGAAGTTTCACCGTGTAGTTTTCCAACCTTTTAAAAAATCTTTCCGCAATTCTCTAAAGGCATGCTGTCTAGGAAGTCCACAATGAGTTAAAGTTTTTGAGGCCAGCAGCATCTGAAGCTCCTTGCTGCTTTAGGTAGACTGGAAAAAAAAATAACAGTTGTGGTGTCACAGCACAAGCTCTGCCCACTTCCATTTGATGTTACAATGTGTGTTTTAAAAAAGGGTAGGACTTGTGCTTTGTGATGCCACAATGCTGCTTTTATTCATCTGGCCCTGTTTACCCCTCCCTCAGAGATGCCAGTGTTTTACATCCTATAATAATAATAATAATAATAATAATAATAATAATAATAATAATAATAATAATAATAATAATAATAATAATAATAATAATAATAATAATAATAATAATAATAATAATAATAATAATAATAATAATAATGTTGGAAGGGACCTTGGAGGTCATCAGGTCCAACCCCCTGCTCAGGCAGGTAACCCTATACCATTTCGGACAAATGGCTGTCCAGTTTCTTCTTAAAAACTTCCAGTGTTGGAGCATTCACCGCTTCTGGAGGCAGGTTGTTCCACTGGTTAATTGTTCTAACTGTCAGGAAGTTTCTCCTTAGTTCTAGGTTGCTTCTCTCCTTGATTAGTTTCCATCCTTTGCTTCTTGTCTTGCCTTCAGGTGCTTTGGAAAATAGCTTGACTCCCTCTTTAAAGATCATGTCTAGTCTTCAGTTACTAATATAATATCAACAGATGCCTGCCAAGGAAATCTTTTATGTAGGGGGTGCCTTGCTCAATAGTAGTAACTGTGAGAGGGATCTCGGAGTCCTAGTGGACAATCACTTAAATATGAGCCAGCAGTGTGCTGCAGCTGCCAAAAAAGCCAACACAGTGCTAGGCTGCATTAACAGAGGGATAGAATCAAGATCTCGTGAAGTATTAATACCACTTTACAATGCCTTGGTAAGGCCACACTTGGAATACTGCATCCAGTTTTGGTCACCACGATGTAAAAAAGATGTTGAGACTCCAGAAAGAGTACAGAGAAGAGCAACAAAGATGATTAGGAGACTGGAGGCTAAAACATATAAGGAAAGGCTGCTGGAATTGGGTATGTCTAGTTTAACGAAGAGAAGGACGAGGGGGGACATGATAGCAGTGTTCCAATATCTCAGGGGTTGCCACAAAGAAGAGGGAGTCAAGCTATTCTCCAAAGCGCCTGAAGGCAGGACAAGAAGCAATGGATGGAAACTAACCAAAGAGAGAAGCAACCTAGAACTAAGGAGAAACTTCCTGACAGTTAGAACAATTAACCAGTGGAACAACCTGCCCCCAGAAGCGGTGAATGCTCCAACACTGGAAGTTTTTAAGAAGAGACTGGACAGCCATTTGTCCGAAATGGTGTAGGGTTTCCTGCCTGAGCAGGGGGTTGGACTCGATGACCTCCAAGGTCCCTTCCAACTTTTATTATTATTGTTGTTGTTGTTGTTGTTAAAATTATTGTTTCTCAACCTTGGTCACTTGAAGATGTATGGACTTAAATTCCCAGAATTCTGGGAGTTGAAGTCCACCCACCTTCAAGCGGTCAAGGTTGAAAAACACTGGCTCAAATTCATTACCATTCTCTCACCAATAGCCTTTCTTACATATAACCAAGCTCATATGACCAAAATTCTATATTCTTAAAAGATAATGCATTATTTAATTTACTTAAAATGCAATATGTATGATTCTCCTGTACATAGAATAAATAACTCACCAGTCTCACTATTGCAGGGAAAAAAGAAGATGCACAATTTATGCTGGCATACTTTTCTAGCGGTTCAAAGATTGGTGGACTATATATAAGTTTTGCATGACAATAATACGGAATAGGGTTTTTTTTGTTTTTTTTTAGGATCCTAATGTGATTTGCCAGCCTGATAAAACGAACACAACTGTGAAGAACTATCCCAAGTTAATTCAGGTAGCTTATATTTCTAAATCTGACGCAACATTATTAAGTAATTAAAAATATGCTGCTGTACACGTGCAGGCTCGTGCATTGGGTGGTTCGTGTTATATAAACAACAGATGGGAGACGAAAGAGAAAAAGAAGCAGAGATAAACCAAAGAAAAACAAGTACTTATTTCACAAGCCTTGATTCCAGTAAATTAGGAATTAGCAGAGGGTAGATTGGGCTTTATTGATTGCCAAACCCGTTTCTTTAACAACAATAACTCAAAGACAGAATCTGTCCCTCCAAACCAGGGGTGTCAAACTCAATTTCATTGAGAGCTGCATCAGCATTGCGGTTGCCCTTGGGGGGGTGGGGGGGGCGGCCAGGGTGGGTGCAGCCTACTGGGTGGGTGTGGACGGAGTGGGTGCGGCCTACTGGGTGGGTGCGGCCAGCTCTACATCATTCGCGTCAAGGGTGCCTGTGGGGGCCTGGGCAGGAGTGGGACAGATCTGAGGGTCTCTGGCAGAAGGGAGTGGGACTGGGGCAAGTGCCAAGGCATGGTCCACTGGAGGAGCCTCACTGTTCCTCTCAGGCCATGCGGGGAGGGGGCTTATGGAGCTAAGACTGAATGTGTTTCAGCATAGATGGCCACCACAAAATTGTACATTGGTTCCTAGCTGGCCTGGACCAGGGCCAAGGCAGAGGGGGCCGTTCCCTCACTGTTTTCAGGATGGCTTCGCAGGCCACATGAAACCACTTTGCGGGCCGCATCTGGCCCCGGGGCCTTGTGTTTGACATGTCTGCTCCAAATTATGCTGAGATGGAGAACAGTCAGGAGTGGATTAGATGTGTGCATATGAAAAAGACTACTAGCATTGTTTTGGGATTAAAACCTCTCCTGGACCAAGCTTATATTCAGAGGCACCTGGGGAATCTAAGTACAATTTTCACATATCTCCCAACCATTGTTTTATACCTGGTCCCAGAGCAGTGATGGCGAACCTTTTAGAGACTGAGTGCCCAAACTGCAACCCAAAACCCACTTATGCATCGTCAAGTGCTGGGTGGGTGTGGCCCATTGGCTGGGTGTGGCCAATTGGGTGGGCGTGGCTGCGGTGGTAACAGCAGACTGGGTGGGACTAAAAAGTTCAAGTCAATCAATTTCAACTTTGCAAGATCATTTTTTTTCCCCGCGAGAAGTTGAAATTGACTGTTTGAACCTTTTTTTTTGCACATGGCGGCGGAGGCCTAAAGTGAAAAGATTTTATAAAACCCAGCTGAAGGCCTAGGACTGGGGCGACGGCACGCGTGCCCACAGAGAGGGCTCTGAGTGCCGCCTCTGGCACCCGTGCCATAGGTTCGCCACCACTGTCCTAGATTCTCAGGAAGGAACTGATAACTCTTGTGTGCTGATGCTTAGGTAAATTTAGAATAGCCTAAAAAGGCTTGATGGAAGAGGTGAGCCTCAAGCAGAACTTTGAAGAAACAAAGGAAATCCACTTCGTAGGAATTAAGAGTCTTCATAGGAATCTGGGAGTTAGACACCGGGTTAGGGACAGTAAGGCAGAAAAAGTATTTTGGGGTAAAATGTCTATGGAAATTCTCAGTCATCCAGGTCAAGGCTTTTCAACCAGTGGTACGGGTACCACCTGTGGTACATTGGCACCTGGCAGGTGGTACGCGAGCATCCTAGAAAAGTGGTAGCAGGGGAGGGGAATGAACTGAACCAGTAGCAGCACCGCACAAGCCTGAGTAAGAGATGGCTGGAGCTGCAGGGCTGTCAGGGCTCAGCGGAAGCGCCAGGATCAGCACCAGGCTCCAGCTGGAGCTCAGCGCTGATCCTGGCACTTCTGCTGAGCCCAGAAGAAGCACCGATCAGCTGGAATGTTGCAGCATCTCCAGGGTCTTGTGATTTACATTCAGATGCTTGGCAACTGATTCATATTTATGACGGTCACAGTGTCCCTGGGTCATGTGAAGTGACCCAAACCTGCTGCAACCACCCAGCAGACGGGGGGAATAAAAACCAAACACCCCCACCCACCCCACCCCCGCTGCCAATCCTCAACAGAAATGCTCACAACAATGAAAACCTCGGACAGGAGGAAGAGTGCCGCCAGGTGGGCAGGCAGGTGTCTTGCTCGGCTGTGGCTTGGGGGGCACTTTTTTCAGTGCCATTGTAACTTCGAACAGTCACTAAGCGAACTGTTGTAAGTCGAGGACTACCTGTACTTCATCACTTTTTTCCTTTTNAATTTAGCTAAACCACCTCAGTGTCTTCCATCCAAGTAGATTTTTTTGAATGAACTGGGCATTCTATGCTAGGAACACATGCATAGATTGAAACATACTGAAATCTTTCTGGAATTATGTCATCCATAAGTTACCTTTTTATTTTTATTTGTGTAGATCATTTGGGGGCATGTCCAGTTTCTTAAACATTTTAAATAAATGGTGTGATTCATCATGGAATTGCTTGATCATTAAAACAACTGGCTCTCCAAATAATTATTCCCGTCTTAATGAAAGAAGTAACACTCTATTTTCTGACTTATCTTTTGAAGAAATAGTAAGAAACAATTTCTTCTTACCAGCCTGGGACAGGGCTATGATCTAAAAATGTCTTCCATCATTTCTTCTTTGCCAGCATTATTATTTACAAGGCAGTAAATCAGGAGGCCTACTATGTATGGGAATATTAATTTAATCAAAATAAACAGTCATTTTAAGAAATCTAACAATTCCTTAAAAAGATGGTTAAGTGCAGCTGGAACATATCTTTAACTGTACTGTTTTCTTTCTAGCATTGTGCAACTGATGAATATCTTATCTACAAATGTGATCTTGGACAGATAAATTCATCTATGATCCATATTACTGGGATGATGTCTACCCAAAACAATACAAAGGTAAAAACAGATCAATAACAATGATTTCTATTTATAAGGGGAAATTTCCTATTCCTCTTAAATCTGAAACCTGGAGAATGGGAAAATTTATCCCCCCCAATCTAATAAATGTTAGTTCCAATTTATTCAATATCTGAATAAGTAGGCAGGGACATTCATTCATTAAGCTTGCAAAGGGGAAAAAAAACTACAGACCTACAATAAACTGAGATGAAGTATTAGGAAAGAGTCTGCGATCGGAGCAAATGTCTAATCTAGTTATCTTGGTGTCATACATATTACCCAGATTTTAAAATAACCTGCTACTACATCATGTTATGATTTTTTGGGTTTAGCTTAGCATGCTATAGGACAGTGATGGCGAACCTTTTAGAGACCGAGTGCCCAAACTGCAACCCAAAACCCACTTATGCATCGTCGGGGGCCGGGTGGGTGTGGCCCATTGACTGAGTGTGGCCCATTGGGTGGGCGTGGCTGCGGTGGTAATGGCAGACTGGGTGGGACTAAAAAGTTCAATCAATCAATTCCAACTTTGCAAGATCTTTTTTTCCCCATGAGAAGTTGAAATTGACTGATTGATTGAACCTTTTTTTTTTGTACACGGCGGCAGAGGCCTAAAACGAAAAGATTTTATAAAATCCAGCTGAAGGTCTAGGATTGGGTCGACGGCGCGCATGCCCACAGAGAGGGCTCTGGGTGCCCCCTCTGGCACCCGTGCCATAGGTTCGCCACCACTGCTATAGGAATACATTCGCCAGCACAACTGAGTGATAAATTGCTGAACATCAAATGGTTATACACATTAAAAGTTTTCTAGCTTTCTCTGAAGATCACAATTATAATTGTGATCTTAGAATTGTCCATTCACACAGTACTTGTAATACGTCTCACATAACCTTGTTTTCCCCTCTCCACCTATTATTGCATTCGATGAAGTGACTGTAGTTACTTCATAATAAAATCGCACGTCTTATGATTAGCAGTTTTTACTTAAGAGGTGCCACCAGCGTCCATTTTGGGGACATCATAAACTAACATGGCTTTCCACCTGCAACGTTTATAATTAAAAACCTTAAGCAGATGCAGACATTATTGGGCAGGCTACTTAATCTGACAAAAGAGTTTGAATTTAGTTCTTGCACCCACACGTGTTTGAAAGCAAATGACTTGTCTTTAAAAAAAACTGGCCTATTCATCATATGATTTATGCTGCCTGACGCAATGTAAACTTCATTATCCTTTTATCTTGTTAGAACTCTCTTCAAACCAAGCTTTGCACAGCCTTGTGGGTTGAATTTGATACCGGAAGATATAAAAATTTCTATGGTCATGAATTTGCCCAGGTTCAGGTGGGTTTGTGACTGAAGTTATTTCTTTCCCTCCTTCTCTAAGAATTTTCTATATTCTTATGGTATTGTTATCTCTTTTACTATAATGTTCCTTCAATCAATCCATCTATTTTATTTAGGCTGGAGTTTCTTAGAACCATTCACAGAAAGATTGCAGAACACTTTTAAATTTATTGAACATTTTTCTTTACTACAATATGGTCAACGGATCAAACCAGCTACAAACCCTAAGTCCCATGATCTTTAGAACAGCTTTGATGCAATATACTAATTTTACCTCCTGTATTAAATAAGCCATATCATCCCTTCAAATACAATCCAAAATCTAATTTGCAAGTAGGTTTTGTTAGAACCAACCCAAAACACAAACAATTGGATAAATAGTCAAGATCCTCCAAATCTCCTTATCAAGACATTATTACAAAATATGTTTAGCACACTTCCGGAATTGGTGTTTTGGGGGATTTTAATTGCTTTTTCAAGAGTGTTAGCCACTTTGAGTGGATTGAAAGGCAAAGTAATAATAAATTAAGGAGGAGAACGGAAGGGAAAATGTTATGAGGTAATAAAAGTTTGCATTATCAAAATCTTCAGCTGAACAGGAGGGAGGATAAGAAACTTGCTCTGCTAGCTGTTATTATTATTTAAAGCAACTACTTAATAAACATTTGATGGAGAAAAGATGGCCATATGCCAATCTTAAATGTTTATTTAAAGGGTGTCCCAGGCTGTAAAGATATGATAGTGATGTTGTGCCTCCCTTTCTTTTATATGCCCTACAGGTCACAGAAGTAGAGGTGATAATCACAATGAATTATCTCCTAATTATAATAGGCAGTGTCATTGGAGGCTTGTTCTTGCTTATTCTCTGCATTGTAGGACTTTACAAGGTAAGATTACTTTATTTCAAAAATCTAGAGCGATTTTGAGGAACTGAGAGTTGAGTTCTTCCTGATCAGTTGGATTAAAAAAAGATTTGATCAGTAATATTTCAAACTAGCATTGCTAACATCCAAAAATTATCCAATTCATCCAATACTGCTTTATAATGTCCGAAGTATATTGTCAGGCTACAGTTTCAGCTAGGATTATTTCTGAACATTATTTTGAGATGTCAGAAATTAAGCCTAGGATCTTTTGTTTGCAAAATGTGGATTGTACCACTGAGAGAGATAATTTCCCAATTGTTACTAATTATTGTTGATAGCTCTGGCATGGCAAATTGTTTCACAGCTCCAAGAAAGAATGATTGGAATTCTTAAATTCTTAAGATTGTTCAGATTCAAATCTGATCTAGCTGCTCTACCATTTTACTTACTTAACTATGAACTATATTTAAATGTTCATCCAGTATTAAAAATTGAGGCTGTAAAAATGGAAGATAGCTGGAAGGCAAGACATGCTTTTATCTATTTATTTGTATCCCACTTCTATTATTTTTATAAATAATTCAAGGTGGCGAATGTATTCAATACACTTTCTAGTTCCCGTGCCCAATAACTCCGTGAGGTGACTTGGACTAAGAGAAAGGGACTGGCCCAAAGTCACCCAGTTGGCTTTCCTGGCTAAGGCAGAACTAGAACTCACAATCTCCTGCTTTCTAGCCTGGTGCCTTAACCACTAGATCAGTGATGGCGAACCTTTTAGAGACCGAGTACCCAAAAACTGGCCCCGCCCCTGCTCCACCCCCGCCCCACCCTGCCTGCCCGCTGGGCCACTCACCGCCTCCAGGGCCCGCCACAGATTGTCCAGGTAGCCCAGCAGCACCATGGCGGCCTCACCCTCTACCCACGTCCCGCAGCATCAACTGTGTGCGTTGGGGTGTGAGGGCAGTCTTGTCTACGCTGCCTGGCTGCCATGTCCTTGGCTGCGCTGCTCCGCATGGGCCACGCTCAGGGGTGACTCTTCTCCAGGGGTGTTGCTGGTGAGGAGGGGTCGCGGACGGAGGCGAGGCTGGGGCAACGGCACGTGTGCCCACAGAGAGGGCTCCGAGTGCCGCCTCTGGCACCCGTGCCATCGGTTCGCCACCACTGCACTAGATCAAACTGGCTCTCCTTACCCATTCAACATCTTTAGGCTGAGGCTGAGTCTCCTTGTCTAACTTCTGCTTCTAATGGTTTTTCTTACTTTGCCTTGCAGTGTGGGTTCTTCAAACGAAATTATAAACAGAAGATAGAACTTCAAGGAGAAAACGAGAATGGCTTACAAGCAGCGGACAATTTAGAGGAGGGGGCAAAGGAGGACGGTTCTAAGACAGCAACCGAGAATGAGAATGAAAGCAAACTCCTTACGGAACCATTGAGTAATGAAAACGAGAGCCAATGATCAAATCATGTCCCTCTCCAGAGACTGCAGCCAGGCTATTTGTTGTAAATGCTCAGTGTGCAAAAAAAAAAAAAAAAGGAAAAAAAAAACACAGGAAACTTTTGCGGTGCTGGTAATGAAGACTTCCTTTTCCCTTTTAAAAAAGAAAAAAAAAGAAGCTATCACGGCATTTATTTCAAGTGCTTCTACTGACCGTTTTAGAAAAAGAGCCGTAATACGTGTTTGCAGGAGCAGGTGACAGATACGCACGATGAGATGACCAGAACAAGATGCAGGCAGACCAATGTGTTTGTCTTGTGTTCTCCGCTAGTCCCTTGATCTGAGACAAATCAGCTGTTTTGTGTGCCTGCCTGTTTTAAGATTCTTTTCTAGAGAATAGCAGCGTTTTGGATTCTGGATTTTGGCCTTTGTTCCTCTTATCGGTTGCACGTTAAGAAATGGGTAAGGCTTAAAAGAGGAATTGGGCCAATCCTACCTTCCCCCACTTGGCAAGGGATGAAAGAAATTTTCTGAAATTCTGGACAGTAACTACCTACAGACCGTTAGATAAATCAATGTCAGGCTCCCAAACCAAGAAAGATGCGCTGAGTTACTCCAAAGCAGTTTCCTTTATTGTTCCTCACCTATGGACAGAAATCTTGCCAAACTAAAGCAAACTACTAGCATCAATAAAGATATACTCTGAGAACTTTTAAGGAGGAGTTGCCTTGAGCCTCGTCCTCCCAATCAAACTATCTAAACTTTGTCGTCTCTTGGTCCTCTGGAATGTGGCCCCTCCCTCCTGGGAATCCAGACTACTTTCCACCACATTAATTCCCCTTGGAGATTCTTCTTCTTCTTCTTCTTCTTGTGCCATATCCGTTATCGGACGTTGGCAATCATGTTGGCGATCCTGTTTTTATCAGCAGCCGCACAAAAAAGTGCTGCTGAGTTTTGTCCAAACCAGTCCCTTAGATTTTGAAGTCACGATGTTCTTCTTCTGCCTGGACCTCGTTTGCCTTCAATCTTTCCCTGGAGGATTAAATAGAGTATGCCGTATTTTTCTGGGTGTTGCATCACGTCCGAAATATTCTAATTTTCGTTTTTTAATTGTTTGGATGATTTCCCTTGGCTTTCCCAGGCGGCTTATCACCTCATTTCTGATCCTGTCATCCCAGCTTATACGTTAACAGCCGCCTGTAGATCCACATTTCAAATGCTTCTAGTCCCTTCAGGTGGCCTTCTGTCAGAGACCAACTCTCTACTCCATAGAGCCAATCACCAGCTTACCACTTCAGCTTTCTTACCGGAGTCTAAAACCCTCAAGAGTGGGAGGAGAGAAAACAGAATGGCTTGGACCCTGGTCAAGAGCTTCACCATCTTAAGCACCATTTTGGCCCTGTAGGATGTCTCTAAATACTCTTGATTTGATTTATATTTCTTCCCATGTTTACTATGGGATGGGAACGTAATAAGGGATGGGAAAATCCACCCCCAAACATCGAAACAAAAAAACATGAAGGGTAACAAATGACAATCTGTTGCTGGCTAAGCCCTTGGAAATAATAAAGTATTCTGTCATCAGAAAATTTGGAGCAGAACAGAATCTGTAAGCTAGGATACAACTTAAAACAAAAAATAGGCAGTGTGTGTGGCATCAAACTTACATGACTTTCAAACTCTGGGATTGTCTGAATTTTTCATTGATCACTTTTGCACTTATTTTTAGTCTGTGCTTAAGTATTTTGGGAAATTTGGTTAAATTTCTCTTTCCTCGCCATATTACAATAGGGGCCTTGTTAAATATACATTTTAGTAATGTATTTGCCATAATGTAACTTTTTCAGAAAGTCTTTAACCGTAATGTGAAAAGGTAAAATTACGGTACTGAACATTTTCACAGATGGTGGCCAAAATAAATGGCTGTTTTAGATAATTTTTACTTTAATAAGTGAAATCAATTTTCCAGAACAAAAAAAAAATACACATATCCAGAATCTCCATATATCACAAATCACTAATGAAATTCCCTAACTCTGAAAATAGGTTTGTTGTGCTGCTTCTTTGGGGGAGGGGAAAAAAAACCAAGGTTAAGCATCAGTATATATGCAAATTATATGCAAGCATCTTGAAACTGATTCAAAGTATGTTGAGTAATAATCCTGGCTCAATTTAAAAGAATGCAGGGTGCTTGAGTAGAATCAAAAAGAGCATTTATTAGTTCAGCAGAAGGAGACACAGAAAAGAGGATTAGAACGTTACAAAAATAACTACAGTCGGGAGAGATTCAGAGCATGCAACGGAAGTTTTCAAAAGCTGTTCTAGTTAAATACTGGAGTCTTACAGTGTCCCCACATTCTGCTGGGTTCCTAAGTAACAACTGTGAAAATAAAACAACCATATTATCTTTTTTGCCCCATCCCCGAATCCCAACCTCCTAAGTCAATAACTCCAAAGCTTATAGACTGAGTTGAAGGAAGATTTCTCCCAAATCAACTCGTCGAATCCAGCAAGAATTGCCACTGTAAGGAAAGGCACCCACTTATTTATAAAAAAAAGATGTCTTACCTCGGAAGTGTTGTGAAACTTTTTTTTTTTTTTAACAAAACTTGGGCTGGATTGGGAAGTATAATACACCATGTACTTAGGTAGAGTACTGTTTAAAAACAGACCGCATAAAATCACCCTTTGGAATTATTTTGATCAGCAAACGGCACAAGGCTTGGAATGTTACAGGGAGCCGGATCGTATAGCTTGACCATAAGGCAGCCACCACACAGCGCTCTGTAGCACAGGCATGCAGGGACTGGAGTGAGGGACATGTTCACGTGGAGAGCAGACGCCACAGAATATCCTACAAATATAAATACAACAAATACGACAAATATTTGTTGCAGAAGGACGTGACCGCTTTGCATCTAGGTAGGGCTCTGCTGTTTGTCCACAATGACTTTTGATGACTTGCTGGTTTGAGCTATTTTGAGCACTGTAGGCCTTCTACTCTCTTCTACTCTATGCCAGTCAATTGTTTCAATTCCTTAAAGCCCCCCAGCTTCAGCAGGGGGACTCAGTCTCCGGCTTCTTCCTTGTTCTCTCCAAGCTGTCCTCCCCTTTGCCTAGCCAACTTTGTTTCTCACTTTCCTCTTCGCTGTCCTGCCACTCCTCTTCCTCAATTAATTTCTCCTGCCTTAAATGATCTAAAGTAGTCTCCCATTCTTCCCTTATGCTTTCGCCTCCATCGTCCTGCCAGCCGTGCTTTGTGATCTCGTCCTGGCCTTTCCCCCTCATGTCTGAATTACTGCCATCTTGTACGTATTCTTCTACGCTTTCACCATCGTCATCATCATCATCATCACCGTGACACTCTAGTCTCATACTCAGATTGCCGTCCTGGAAACTCTCCTCCACCCTCCTAAAGTCATCATCATTGTCATCATCATCATCGTCATCCTCCTCCTGACATTCCAGCCTCATGCTTTCAGTACAATCCCCCTGTGATCCCTGTTCCAGTTGTTCATCCTCCTCGTCCTGCCACTCGGTCCCCGTATCATCTTTCCAGATCTGCCTCGTGCTTTCTCTGCCATCCTCCTGCAACTGTGGCAACTCGTCAACATCATCCTGCCACTCCACCCTCATGGCCTCATCCCCGTCGTCCCCCCATTCCTGCCTTGTGGCCTCATCCCCAACACCCTGCCATTCGGGCTCCATGATCCCTATTCCATTCCCTTGCCACAGGCGGTCTGCTTCCCCTCCCACTCCCTGGTCCCCCACCTCTTCCATCCCAGCCGTTTCCCATCCTTCTATCAAAGTCAATGTCTCCCCTCTCCTCACGTGGGCTCGCCGATGCTGAGAAAGTGCCGATTTCTGTCCAAACCCTCTTCCACAATAGGGACATCGAAAGGGCTTCTCACCGGTGTGAGTGGCTTGATGCTGAAGGAGAGCTGAACTACGCACAAACCCTTTCCCACAGTCCGCACACGCATAGGGCTTTTGTCCTGCATGAATACGCTGGTGTATATGGTAGGTGGAGCTGACACTGAAACTTTTCCCACACTGGCTGCAGCAGTAGGGCCGTTCACCTGTGTGAGTGCGCTGGTGTTGCAAGAGTGCCGAGCTTACGCCAAAACCTTTCCCACACTCATCACATTTGAAGGGTTTCTGGCCTCGGTGGACCCGCTGATGCTGCTGGAGGTTGGAGCTCTGATTGAATCCTTTCCCACAGTCTGGACAACGAAAGGGACGCTCGCTCATGTGGATCCTCTGGTGACGGATCAGATGGGAGCTCTCCGCAAAATGTTTCCCACACTCAGGACAGCCAAAAGGCCGCTCTCCGGTATGAGCACGGAGGTGACGGACTAAATCAGCCCGGAGGCGAAAAGTTTTGGTACACTCCCCACAGGAAAATGGACGTTCCCCAGAATGGAAGCGTTTGTGTTGGGTAACCTTTGAGCTCTGAGAAAAGCATTTTCCACAGATGGAGCAGACGTAAGGCTTCTCCCCGGTGTGTATCCGCTTGTGCTGAATGAGATCAGAACTATGGCTGAAGCTCCGCCCACACTCTGGACAGGTGAAGGGTCGCTCGCCTGTATGAGTCCGTTGGTGGATGATGAGATTGGAACTCTGTGAGAAGCCCTTGCCGCAATGTGTGCACCGGTATGGCTTCTCACCTGTATGAGAACGCATATGCTGAACTAAGTGAGAGTCTTGGCGGTAACTTTTATCACAATGGGGGCATTTGTACGGTTTCTCACCTGTATGGACGCGACGGTGACGGATTAGGTGAGAACTGTTACTAAAGCTCTTCCCACAGTCAGGACAAATGGTAGCTTTGGGCACTCTGTCATTGTCAGAAAGATTATCTATGGATTCCTGTTCCAGAGATATGATAGATTCACCATTACAGATGTCATGCTGAGTGCTTTCCTTCTGATGGTCTTCTATTATAATACCTTTCACTGGAGAGTCTCTATGTTGGTCTCCTTTCTGTTTGTTCTCTGATCCTGCTTCCTCTTCTTTGTTTTCATGTGTCATCTCAATGCCTACAGTCAGAAGTTATATCACAACAATTTAATC